GCAGCAATGAATGAATGGAAATCCAAATTCTCTGTAAATGTTCATTAAAATTATTAAAAAAAAAAGAAAACAAAAGGTTTCAGATACCATTTGGCAGTGAAGGAGACTGTAAGACTGTACAAAGAGATGAAGAACAAAAGAGACAAAATAAGAAAAGTACATCATTAGAGAAAGCAAATGAATCTCACTGCTGTTGAATCAATTCTGACTTAGTGACCCTTACAGGACACCGCAGAACTGCCCCACAGGGATTTCAAAGTCATAAACCTTTATAAAAGCAGAGTGCTGCTTTTTTTTTAAATTGGTTTGCTTACAAAGTTCATATACATTGTGTTTAAAACTATTCTTTCTTTCCATTGTGTTTCATACTATCATTCTCATACATTATGTTTTATAAAATTAATCACCTTTGATTACTCTTTTTACCCCAATCCTTCTCATTTCCTTCCTTCCCTCCTTTCATCCACCAAACTGTGCAATCCTGTGGTTTCGCCCCTACCCATCTTTAGTCCTGCCCCACAGGGTGCTACATTTTTCTCCTGCAGAGTAGCTGGTGGGTTTGAATGACTTTTCAGTTCCAATACTTCAACCACCACACCACTAGTGCTACTCAAAGTAATTAATAATAAAAAAAGTCCAAATCCACTGACACTGAGTTCATTCTGACTCATAATGATGCTCAATAGCATTTCTCATGCTACATATCTTTATGAGAGGAAATTGCCTATTTTTCTCCTAAGACTAGTGGATCTGAAATGCTAGTCTTTTGTTCTGCCTATATCATAGCAACAAACAAAAATATGAAAACTTCCCAAAATACAGTATGATTTTAAAATTTTTAAAAAACCATATAGTAGATATTACAGAAGTCTTTATAAAGGAAATTAGGACTTGAAGGATAGTTGTTTTGTCTCACTGGCATCATTTTTTAGAAAATTAATATTTGAGTATATTCACATGGCTAAGGTGTTGTTGTTTTTTTTTTAATTTTATTCTTTTTCTATGTATGTACCATCAAATCGAATCTGACTGGCATAGGAGGAGACTGCCTCTCCTTCTCCAGCAGAGCATCTGGCGGATTCGAACCGCGTTCCTCTGGGATTGCAGTACAGCTTCTTGCCGCTAGGCCACCAGAGCTCCCTTCACATGGTTAAGTGTTTTTTTTTTTTATTTTATTATTTGTGCGTGTGCGTGTACCGTCAAATCAGATCTGACTGGTACAGGAGGGGATTGTCCCTCCTTTCCCGGCAGAGCATCTGGTGGATTCGAACCGTGCTCCTCTGGGATTGCAGTGCAGCTTCTTACCACTAGGCCACCAGAGCTCCCCTCACATGGTTAAGTCTTAAAAAGTATAAATAGTTAAATAATGAAAACAATCTCTTCCTTACTTTTGTTTCTACTTGCCCAGTTCTAACTACCCTACCAATGTCATTCTTGGAAGTATTTCTGGAGTCTGTTTTACAATAATCCAGCTAATAAGAAGCATCCTCTTCTGTCAGTTTGCCATAATGTGGTAGCTTGAGTGTGGCTGTGGAGCTAGAAGCTGTGCGCCCAGGATTTCAAATGCCAACAGGGTCACGCAGGTGGGCAGGCTTCAGCAGAGCTTCTGGACTATGACAAAGAAGCAGGATTGACTAACTCCTTCTAAAGTAACAGGCCTAGAAAACCCTATGATTAACAGAAAAGCATTGCTGGATATGGTGACAGAAGATGAGTCCTTCAAGTCGGAAAGTTTTCACAATACTGGGAAGAGCTGCCCCTTCAAAGCAGGGTTAACTTTAACAATGAGGACAGGGCAAAGTTTTCATCCCTTGAGGACCTCCATTTGCTGATGTGGTAAGATTCAGAATGACAAACAGCTAGGTCTTCAAGAACCAATGGAACTAAAAAATTCACTGAAAGTATTGGGAAAAAATAGGTTCCTAGAAATCGATGGAACACCAGCTGGGGTCTTTGAGCAAACTGATACAGCTCTGGAGATCCTCACCAGTTTATAACAAGAAATTTGGAAGACAATGCTACTGACTGGAAGAAATCCATATTTATTGCCATGCCAAAAACAAGGCAATCAACATAATGGAGGGGAAAAATTTAAAAAAATTTTTTAAAAATCTGTGGAAAAAAACATAATGGGGAAATTATCACTAATAGATCACATGAAAGTAAAATCTTGCTGAAGATTATCTGAAAATAACTAGAACCGTACATTGTCAGAAAATGGCCAGAAATTCAAGCTGGATTTGAAAGAGGCCATGGCAGGGGAATATCACTGCAGATGCCAGACTAATTTTGGCTGAAGACAGAGAACACTGGGAAGCTGTTTACTTTTGTTTTATTGACTGTTGTTTTTATGTGCCGATGAGTTGCAAGCGGTGACCCTATGTACAACAGCCCTAAACTATGCTCTGTCCTGTGATAATCACACTGTCTCTGATACACCCATCCTGATCAACCCAGTAACTGAATCAATCCACCTCATAGAGGACCTTCCCCTCCTGTGCTGTCCCTCCACCCTACCAAGCATGATGTCCTTCTCCAAGGACCGGTCACTCCTTACAACATGTCCAAAGTATGTTAGATGGAGCCTCAGAATCCTTGCCTTCAAGGAGCCATCTGGTTTAACCCTTTCCAGGATGAATGTGTTTTTCTAGCAGTCCATGGTACTTTCAATACTCTTCTCCAGCACCACAGCTCAAAGGCATCAATTCTTCTATCCTCCTTGGTCATTGTCCAACTCTCTGATGTATAACAAGTGATTGCAAAGACGATGGCCTGTATCAGACCCCCTTAGTCTCCAGAGAGAACCATTGCTTTTCAGTAATTTGCAGAGGTCCGTAACAGCAGACCTTCCCATGGCAATACACCTTTTAATTTCCTGGCTACTGGTGCCAAGAGTGTTGACTGTGGAGCCAAGCAAACTAAAGCTGTGTACAATCTCAATCTCTTCACCATC